GGTCAAGTAGAACTCTAGATTTAGTTGTACAAAGATTTGTAAAACTGAATTATATATAGAATAGATAAAAAATGCGGAGTTGAATAATGATGATAATGAAAACCAAAAGTACTCTAGTGTTGATTTATACACAGCGTTTATCCGGAAATCGTTCGCAATAAAGTTGAGAAACTGGTGTTGATCCCGCAGGAGACAGTAGACAGATGTTGCTGTTAACTTTACACTGATGTGCTGTTGACCGTATCTGTCAAAGTAGACGTTCACGGGTTCAGTCCTGTATAAGAGTCAATATATCTCAGACATATTGATTTCCTTCGTGAATTGGTAAAGAAATAAGTTTTAGCTATGCGAAACTGGTTCAATTGGATGGATTGAAGGTCCACCAATATGGAATAAAAGAAAGATTTGGTCGATCAGGCGACTACAGCGACCACAGAATTGGGTGACTACAACTCTTTCTGTATTCTGAGAACCTTACTGCACTTTTTCACACGCAGAAAAAATCAATCTTTGCTAACCGAATACTATGTTTAATAATTGTTCGATCTAAATTAATTTCTAATACGTAAGCCTACAAAGTTAACGGACATGAAAGCTATTTTACAATTAATACTTAAAGGTAAATTGCAATGTCTTATAAGACACGTGACATTTATTTCATAGCCGTTTAGTGACGTAATTTTTTAAATCACTGGAATATGTAAAATAAACACTAGTTGGTTGCTTATCACACAGTCGCCTTAGCTAAGGGGCCATTGGACCTTCAATTCAATGACAGAACTTGTGTTCTTACCTTTTTTTACCCAAGCATGTTTTCAGATATTTTAACTTGAAAATGTCAATTGTCCGAATCAATAAATTCTCATCACTAATGCTAAATGTCACAAACAGATCGTAGCGTACTTTCGGTCCACGTTTACTGTGTAGAATATGTTTGTTTTGATCTATTAGATGAATACAAATCTTTAGGTAAGGCACTCCACAACCAGAGGAAAATATATCGGTCAACAACAAACTACGTTTGTGTTTCTAGCCTGACAAGAGACTCAACCCCGGGGATTTGGCTATCAGCAGATGTAATTAGGTTCCGATCCAACAATAGCCTCAAGGCGGTTCCAGCATATTAGATAACCACTAGATAATCGTCACCAACTCTACATCTGCAATCGTAATCGATATTCCATTCCTGTAAACATAAAACCGTTAATGTTATATTTTAAATCATATTGCATAACAACATATTTAAGGGGTCAATAATGTAAAAAGTAAATAATTTATCTTAATTAACTAATTTTCGAATGAAAAACATAATTAAAGTATTTAATAATTTATTTGCAGGACAAATTGCTTTACTGGTGTTTTGCAACGTGTTGAGGACTAGGATGAGAATGTTGTGTTTCTTTAAATGTACAATTTAAAACAGTTAGCCTACATTCCTTTCACATACAGACAATTTAAAACAATTATATTTCCCTTCTCTATAATTGTTTGCCCAAATACAGTATTTATATGTAATAATAGAAGCTTATAGGCTATAACATGTTGCATCATATTTCGTACACTAATATTATAAAGTTAATAATATAGATAAAAACATACTCCCTTGTGTCTATGAGGCTTACCCGTAGTAACGAGAAGCACAAAAGAGAATACTTGAAAAATGATCACCGTCTCTAGAGAGGATTTGACTAAAGCTTGAAATAGGAATGGATAAGAGGATAAACATGGAAAGCCATACTCACTTGATTTAAACATCTTTAAATTTAATAAGCAAAAAGGAACCAGACAATTTTATCTACTGGCTTGTATTTTTATTTTTTTTAAGTAGACCCTACTTGATACTTAGTTGCTTGATAACAAATATTTTATTACTAGTATTTTAGGATATAAATATGATTAAATTATACCGATTGGATGTACAAGTTGCAATATTGTAGTTTGCATAAGGCTTACGGTACTTTGGACGTTTTGTTAATTAAACTAAATTAACTATTATACTTTCTGATTAATCTTTAATATCAAGATGCGTGAGGGAATCCACGATGTGCATTCAAACATTATAACCAAGACCAACTCATAGTTCAACTTATTGCTTCAACCTTTGACTGATAAATACATTCAATTTATCAACTGAATCATTTATACCACATAAACAACATATAGTACCAAAGACTAAGACAGACAATCTCATTGATACATTTATTCTATAAGAGGGTAAATCAATTTTTTTTCAACTTGAACAAAATTACTATGAAATTATGGTTTAATAAATAATTCGTCTTGAAAAATAAAGAATTGAATGTTTCAAGGGAGTATAAAACTATTGTAAAATGTAAACTTGGCTGTTGGTTAAAATAGTAATTCACTTTTAGACCTACAGACTACACTTCCACTTCTCGTCCCAATACATAGTCGGATATATTCTGAAGGACCACATCCAAGCATAACACTCAAATAAACATACAAGAGGTTGAAGAGAGGTAGAGCTTGTTGAGATGATTCCGAGAAATCTCCAGCTACAATAGCAAGGATAAGGTATGACATTGTTGAAATATTCAACTTAAGAGTGTACGCGTTATGTTTAATTAGGATCAAATCTTATATCTCATAGAAATTTTACTTTAACTACGTTAGACACTATGTTTTATTAAACAAATTATTTTTATGTAATGTGTATGGGTAGCTTTCAGAAGAACTAAAATTTAACTTATTTTGGAAAAAATACAATTAGATAAAACTTATTTATAAGTTTTTTTCTTAATTTTAATACAAATGTTTATACTTATTCAAAGTGTGTTAAATCTAAAATCTCCCAAAATATTAACAATAAACTTAACTTTCTTTTTAAATATTCTCCAAAAAAGACCAATTATTTAAAGACTTATTAGTTGAAATGGTAATTAAATTGTTCGATCTATAGATTTGTTTATAGACAACACTGAATGGAAATTGGTGGAACGATGTTTTATCTCTTTTTAATGCTACTGGTTAGAAGGCTGCAACCCATTTGTATTCTAAATTTATTTGATATGTAACTGTTTTATAAAATACCTTAACAAATCTTTAAAAGTGATATACAAGCTATATACATGTTTAACAATCAAAACTCTCTCTCTCTCTCTCTCTCTATATATATATATATATATCAATTATTTTATAAATAAAACACCTAGGCAAAAAGATCCAGTTGTAATTTGGTTACAATTTAGCTTTTAATTCTCTGTCAATGGGTTTTATTCGACTTAATAACTTCGTCAATTTCTAACAAAGCAAGTCATTGAGTGATGTTGTTCATTCAGATCAGCGTTAAACTCCATATCATTGACGCTTGTTTCACTGATAATGAAAAAGTAGTGTCAAAATTTGTCTTTTTACGGTAAGGTCAGTCACGAAGTTCAATCGTCGGGTTGACAAGATTTATTACGTTTTAACGACATTTGTGAAATGTAGTTTGAAAACATTTCTTTTTTTTTAAAGGACGTATTCAACTTTTAACATTTTAGTGGAAGGGGTTGAAAAATTAAAATAAGCCCAATTAACAAATTTTAATATCGATTATTAATCATATATTACAGTTATTGTTCTTCTATGTCATGCTTATACCATTCAAAGATTAATACTAAATTTACCTATAAAATGTCCATTACATTGTTTAGCAATGCCATTCTAAGATAATTTTTAATATTTTGTAATCACAAAAATTGACATACTTTTATAAGAATTGGGTTATCCAAGAGTTCGGATACAGCAGCTGGCGCCGGTCGCTCCATCATTGTACTGAGATATTCATGTCTGCAAGATTGATACTGGCTGTAAGAGGATCAGAACCGACTTGTGCGTTTTATATGAGCACTGACTACAAACTAGCCTTACTGGAATCGATGTATTATTTTCTAATATTTTTCGAAGCTCATGGGTGTAATTGAACTTCCTCATGAATGTAAATTCCTTTGCTTATACCACTTACCGTTGTAAATGGGATGCGGTTTAGGAATAAGGCTATTAATTGTATGAACAGTTAAATCTGATTTATATACTACGATAATCCTTACTTTACTGATACTTACAATACAATTCTACCCACTAAGTTAAAACAACCTTCTTTAATAGATACATAACGCAAGATTATTGATTAAACATATTCAATTAAGTAAATACATTGAATGCGTCGACTGTAGGAAGATAACGAATTTCAATGACAAGTTTTTAGTGTTGGAGACAACCTCCAGGCTAGGATATGCAAGTAGCTGACGCACCTCCATGAAGTGAGTGTTGGTGACATTCTACATTTACTTTTTTTAACAACGAAAAATCTGATATATGCAACATATGTAAATAAATAAATAACAACTCTTTAAAAAAACATATATTTACGCTTATACTGTTACTCACAAGACAATAAATATACGTAAAAGTTGGTAAGTGGTGATCGATTTCGATTTGACACACCAATCATCATCAGACCCAATAGGCGAATGACAAGAATCTTGAATAGTGTGTCTACTTATATTCTATGGCCAATACATTTTTATAACTACAACTGGAGTAGAAATTTTCTTGTTCATTAATCAGCTTATTTCTGTTTTTACATTTATCCTTATAAATATACAATTCTTCCCAAGCATTCATCACATATCCTTTTTACAATATTTTAAAATACATAGACTATCCTCCATTTTTTCCTATTGCGTGGCCATTTTGTAACAGGTGTGCGAAACTTGATCTTTCCTGTTTGTTGTTCCTCCACGTAGATATTTATTTATTTACCAACGGTAATACACCAATTTACAAAGATAAAGATTGAAAGCTACAACAGTGAAAGTTTGTGTTTTGTGCTAGGCATTAACAACGATAAACAATGAAAAGAATAACAGTAGTAGAAATTGAACTAGTAACAATAATAAATAATGAAATGAATAACAATAATAAAGCATTAAATGAACAACAATAATAATGATTTGAGATGTAACAAGATCAAAAACAGCACCAACAGTGAAATGTTATAGAGCGTCACGTTCCTCTGCTGCCACTCGCCTAACAGCCTCCAAACTGGAAGCGAAAAGGTCGACCGACGAACAGATCTCGTTCCCGGAGCGCATCAGACGTGGTATGGGGCAGAAGCGTAGATAGCTGGTCGACGCATGGTCTAGCTCAAACAAGCGTTGATGCCTGGTACTTCTGGGAACGTGCAAGTTGATCGTCACGAGCAGAAAAGGGCAGCTGATCTGGTTGTTAAGCAGCTTGAAGAGGAAGGCAACATCAGCAACTCTTCTTCTACACTCCAAGCTTTGGAGACCATAAGCTGCAGATATTTCCTCGACTGGGACGTCCATGAAATTGAACCCAGCGCGGCAACCAAGATGTCTCACGAAGCGTCTCTGTACTGATTCAAGATGATTGATTTGGCCGAGGAGGTAGGGTAACCAGACCACAGAGGCGTACTCAAGCAGCTGGCGAACTAAGGCCTTGAACAGGATCATTGAGGAGTTGGCACTCAACCCATGTCTTGACGTCCTAGAGATCAGTCCCAGCATGCGTGACGCCCTGGCACATATATGGCTTATGTGCGGTCCAAAATCAAACGAGGCATCAATCTGAACGCCCAGTTCCTTGATGGTGTCACACCTTTCCACCCTGTTCCCGTCAAGGAAATAGTCGGTTTCCAAGTTGTTCTTTTTTCTACTGAACGTTATACATTTCGTTTTGCCAGGATTTGCTGACATATCACTCTCCAAACACCAACTGACGACGTTGTCGAGGGCTTCTTGAAGTAATTGACAGTCAGAGAGAGAGTTGACTTCCACGAACAGCTTAATATCATCAGCGAACAGCAGAAAAGGCACCTTTATATTATCTTTAATTTCATTGATAAAGATCGAGAACAAGAGTGGGCTAAGATGGGAACCTTGCGGGACGCCGGAACTCGCGACGAAGCTAACTCGAGACGTGGGACTGAAAGACAACAGCCAGACGTCGACCAGACAGATAACTCTCAAACCATCGAAGCATCGTGCCAACAACGCCCCAGCTAGCGGATATGTGGTTTTTGAAGCGGTTAAAGAAGTTCACAGTCTGTACAATGTAGAAGCTGTCACAATCGTTACAATTGATTTAATTGATGCCCGAAGTGTCGCACAACACCTTTTACACAGTGACTGTTGTTTTACTTTGCGATTTATTTGACTGATATATTTGGTAACAATGACAAAACTGTCTAGGTTTATTTTGGCTACATTTCTTAAATGCATTAAACTGACCGTTTAGTAAATACAATATAATATAAGTGCAATTGACAGATTTATTTGTTCTCTCGTATTACAATCAAGTTTCAAACTAATCTAATTTATTGCAACTGGTTTGGAACGAAAACTATTTTACTAAATACTATCTATATTCTTTTTTGATACGGCGTACCGTATCTTAGCAGTGACACAATTACTGTAAATATCTAAGATAATCTATTTTCCAATACCCTTGTCAAGGAGGAATTAGTTGACAATGCTATTTTACTTAGTTTAAATTAGAACTGGTTTTTGATGGAGGGAGGTTTATTTGTCAGATGAAGTATCTTTATGATATCAAAGTTTTAAAGTTTATAATGCTATACAGTTAAAACCTTGTTAAAGTTTAGTTACCTTTTTTTCCTTTTTGTTAATAAATACATCGAGAACGGAAGGCAATTAACAAAAAAAGGTAACATCTAATACATTTTCATAATACAGAAAATAGTCTGTTAACAGAAGTAACAGATGTGTACAACACCTTAACAAATTTTTTTTAATATCTCCTTGTTAGGTACGAACAGTGAAATAAAATTCATTATCTTACACCAACGAAGATTTAATTTGATAGTACAGGTAATAAATTATCCACGACTAGAAAAGAAAAAGCAGTGGACTCACAACAAATTTACAAACATATTTTATAATACCCCCGCCGCAGCAAACCTGCCGACTAAGCGAATTTCCATTTGTCTGAATTGATTTTCAGTTAAATATATTTTATAACATTAGGTTTAACGAGTACCTAGGTTTGCTGCTACAAGGAAACTAATAAAGTGTGTTTTTGAGTAAAATATTGATAGCTTAGTACAAAATAAATAAATTTCCCAAGTTTGATCAAAATATATCCATAAACAAGCAAACTACAACATTTGACAATATTCTCCATAAGAATAACATGGGAATTTTAAATTTACAATTTTTTTAATTTTCTCCGTTACTAATAATCGAACAAAAATACTTTTATATACTAAATTATTTGTTTTTTTGAGCTCTTTAAAAAGGTCTAAAGAGAAATCGGGAAATTTTGTGTTTGAGGGTCAAAAGTGAGAAAAACCAATTTTTACCCCATAAAACCCCCCGTAAAGCCCCGTTCCCATGGTCCGATCGTGCTGGTTCGCGAACTCATTCAAGTTTATCCCGCTTTACACCTTTAAACCAAATTTCATCAAAATCGGACAAAAATTACTCAAGTTATCGCGTTCACGGACGTATATATATATATATATATATATATATATATATATATAAGTCTATATATATATACATATATAAAAATTTGAACGAATGGTGTTTTTGGCCTCTGGGGACATCAAAATGAAAAAGTAAATCGGTCCCGGGTCTAGGTCTTACCGTGCCACCTACGGTAATAGCTACTTCCCTATAGGGAAATTCGCTAAAACGAGGAAACAGTAAAATAAATAATGTACAAAAGGGAGTATATTTTCACCTTCACTCAATCAATCAAAAGAATGGAGAGACTGTCAGATTTGATCAAGTGTAGTCCTCGACACACGGCGAGTCTCAAAAATAATATTATAACTCAGAAATCTGTTGTTTTTATTCTGTTAATTGGGTGGGAAAAACTGAGCTGAGTTAATTGGCCAATAACAGACGAACAAGAGTAATGAAAATTACTCGCAATTAACTTCTCGTTCATTCCACTGACACACAATTTTTCATTTAGAAAATAAAAACGTGTTAAATGAAGAATTATGAAATACAGGTTACACTTTTCCCTTACTGCAAGGTTTAAATTAAAACTTCGCATTTTTCTGGTTATATTTTAAATAAACGCATGTACAGTCTAACCTTATAATTATGATAATTTGTTATTCTATAATAGTTTTAGTGATCCTTTTTTAGGTGTCTGCAGTGTTTTGCACAGGTTGTGCATGTATAAATTAACTATGCATAATGTAATACTGTAAACATTCCAAATCAAGGGGTCCCAAGACATGTGTTAAGGTTAATTGAAAGCACGAAGGACTAAAAAATAGCCATGAGATTATATTAAATTAAATTATATTTTTGGATGTCGTTCCGCCACCCCTTTGAATTTAGAACCTTTGAGGCTCATGTACACTGGAAAATTCAAGCTTAAATAAACATCTAACAAAAATAAAAGTAAAATATATTAATGCAAGACTTTTCAAAATAACCGTTAGTCAGTCAAGTAACTTTACAACATTCAGTTCACATAATTCAGTCACGATATTGATGATGAAAATACATGTTCACTTAGTTTGTTAATTTGACCGTCAGTTTATATTCTATATTTGGCGAAATATATAAATAGTGAAACAACTATTTTAAAATAAGTTCAATTTTATAAACACCTTTATGTAATGGATAAAAGAGAAGTAAGCTAAATAAGAAATATATGACTTGAATTTATATTTAACTTAAACATATCAAATAACCTGCACTCAATATTAATTACTTGCTACAATTAAACTATGATCATGCTGATTTAATCAATTTCCTCGGAAACCAATTAAATTTACCTGCAAGTAACTGACAAAGTCAGGCTCTCTAGTTGGAACTTCGCTAATGAATTATGCAGCTCATCATATAGCCTGGATGTTATACAGTAGAGACTATGAGCAGAAGGTAAATAGAATAACAAAGCACAACAAACTAAATAATACATCTGTACATCAACATCATCAACATTTCATACAAATGCATAAATGTAGTAAACTTAAGAGTGATGTTAAAATAATTGATTAGTTTAAAATGCATAAGTATAAATATTACATACTGAATAGTGGTAAGCAGTTAAACTAATCAAATGAATGTCCATTAGTTATGCTGTCATGTAACGGCTGATTATTAATTTCACAAAAATAATTGCTGTCATATGTTAGGAAAAAGGACAAAAATTATCGATTAATATTAAAGGTTTTAAGGTCGTATGTAAATTTGTTTGGAAGCTTTTAATTATTAATGCTACATAGATGATAATCTCTCATCTTTAGCCTAAAATCAAACAAAAATAACATTGCGTCACTAGGCATCAATTAGCATTACATTTATGTAAAATAACCAGCATTGTACCTTTCCCAGAAAACTATATAAATTTCATAGTTCGTAAGAAAATTAATTTGGGATTGTCTGTTATCATAAATATAGCATAGTCCATTATTTAATTTGAATGTCAATATATTATGGACTTTTCCCATTGTAATGATTGAAATTATAAGATAATATATAGTGTTCTTGATAAACTCAAGACGAAATTTGTGCTTTGAAATTACCCAGGCAACGCGACTTAGGAGTATTAAGCGAAGCAATTATGAAACATGGGTATGGGAGGGGAATATGTCTAGTATAGCTTTGTAACTATATTAATTTGCTACTAACTACTATGAGCTAATTACGGCCTTATGTTGGTATATTAATTGGGTTATTAAATCGTCAAATTCATAAATTAACACAGTCCACAATCAAATTGTAAGGTCACAGAAGTATGGCCATAAAAATGTTTACTCCTCCAGAAAACACAGCAATCATAACTAACCAATTTTCTTCTATTAAAAACAAACATAAATTGATTTGATGATTCTAGATTGGACTAGGTAAAAACCGATTCGTTTTGATCAACGAAGTTCCAATGGATTGATTTGTTTACTTCGTTACAATTGTCAGCGTAAAGAGTTTCATTAAGTAAATTAAAACTTGATAAAGGGTTTTCTGAATGCAACATTCATTCCAAGTTTATAAAGAAAACTTCTGGCAGTATTTTAAATTTATTAAAATCACACAGTATAACCAATATTGCTATTTATAGCTAATTAGTTAAACATTCCTAGTGTTACGTAACTATGTTCTTTTTGAGAAAACGTCAAACTTTACTTGTTAAAACTATAATAATATAACTTTTGACAGGTAAAACCCCAGCAAAGTCAAGATAAAATGAGAAGGTTGGATCATAATTAGCTGTAACTACTTTAAATTATATACACATTGTGTGTATGCATCCAATATTCATACACTTAATGTAATTGAATATACAAAATTTGAAAGCTTTTGGTGCAGATAAGAAATAGAATAAAAGTCTCATCTTCGTGCAATATTTTATAAAGATCGTCACTGTGTAGAGTCGACCTGTTCTTAGACGTCATATTATGTTTATAAGGGAGCGGCAGAAATATCTGACGGTTTTCAAGCGAGTACAGTCCGGCAGCCGAGTGGAGGGGGGTGGTGGGGAGCGGCTCATTCTCAAGGCCAAGTGTGACAATTTTAGTCGCCATGGAGCAGTGGACCAGTATACATCGCGAGTTTGCCGTTGAGGCGTTTTTTTAAAATGGCGATTCTGTTGTTGGTACGCAACGTAAGGTTCGGAGGCATTTTAATTTGGCTCGTGGGGAACCTATCCCAACCCGAAACACCATCAAATTGTGGGTGGATACCTTTAGATCACAGGATCAACTGCAAAACGTAGGCCTACAGGCCGTCCAAGGCCAGTGAGGACGCCTGAGAACGTGGAGCGAGGGCGACAAGCTGTGCTAACGAGCCCGCATCGCCCGGAGCGTAGACAAGCTGCTGCTCTTGGCATGTCTGATCGCTATATTCGACGAATTTTGCACTCAGGCCTTCACTTTCACCCGACAGCGATCAGACATGCCAAAAGCAGCAGCTTGTCTACGCTCCGGGCGATGCGGGCTCGTTAGCACAGCTTGTCGCCCTCGCTCCACGTTCTCAGGCGTCCTCACTGGCCTTGGACGGCCTGTAGGCCTACGTTTTGCAGTTGATCCTGTGATCTAAAGGTATCCACCCACAATTTGATGGTGTTTCGGGATGGGATAGGTTCCCCACGAGCCACATTAAAATGCCTCCGAAACTTACGTTGCGTACCAACAACAGAATCGCCATTTTTAAAAAACGCCTCAACGGCAAACGCGCGATGTATACTGCTCCACTGCTCCATGGCGACTAAAATTGTCATTGTCACACTCACACTTGGCCTTGAGAATGAGCCGCTCCCCACCACCCCCCTCCACACGGCTGCCGGACTGTACTCGCTTGAAAACCGTCAGATATTTCTGCCGCTCCCTGTATTACACAAATGTGTATTACACATTTCGTAAGGAATTTATTTTCATAAATAAAACTCGTTTTATGAAGCCGGGAGTCTTTCTAAATGTAATGGTAAATATGAATAAAAATTCTGTTCCTTACAACTGTTGGGTGTATTGTTTATTCAATCTAAAAGCATACATTAATCATTATTATCATGTTCCATAACATAATCATATCATATAAGTATTTTTTAAACTGTCGCTTGCTCCCCATCATCGTCTCTGTTAGGTGAAAAGAAATAGTATATTACGTTACTTAGTCCTGAAAATAGGTGTTTGCCGGACGAGTGTGGCCGTTCCCGTGCGAGACAAAGTCGAGTACGGGATTACCATACGAGTCCGGTAAACACATTTTGGACGAGTGACGTAGGCCTACGATAGTAGTTTACGCCATACTACTAAATCTGTACAAATCCTTATATATTACTACCAACTAAAGGACTAAAAATCACTAGTCATAACCTCTAAGAGAGGTTATGTTTTTGTTTATAACTACTCATTGCCACCCAAATACAGTATAATCAGCTGATTGGTGTCCGGTAAAACTCATTGCAGTACAGTAGTACGCAATGAAACCCCATTTGATTAAGCTGGCGGAAAACTGGCTGTTTTCTGGACTAAATCCTTGCGTGGGAAGTTCGTCAAAATATTGTAGTGTGGCGTAAAGTAATTTAGAAGTTAAATTGGAAATATAAGTTAATTAAGATCATTCTAGACCAATAAGTGATACTGTTAAAAAAAAACTATATACATAACAACAAAAACAAAACAAAACAAAATTATAAAGTTAATTTACAAATGTAAACTAAATATTACAGCTCATTAATATGTTTATTATTAATATGTTTATGTCGTTTGGATAAATAAATCTGTGCGAACAACTACACGTTTTATACCTAAGATATAATCAATGGCGTTATTGAGATTGATCAAAAGCACAACTACTTTGAACTCAAACATGAAACACTTAGGAAACAAACTCAATAAAGATAGACAAGCTCTGCAAAGCTGAGTGAGTACAAACTCAGGTGAATAGTTTGTCGATTATGACATAACAGCTCTTCACTTTGACCTTCCTGAATTGGTTGTTGTGTAACGTAACGCTAAGGTAACGCTCGGGTGACGACGTCAACGAAAGGCATAACACTTTCATCAACATTGTCTCATTGTTAGTGTTATGCCTTGGATGTTTTGGGTACGCATCTTATGCGCACAACGCGGAACTATCTCTGGGGAAATGTGACTCGTTTTTGTGAGGTTGGCATTGTGTTTGCGACGGATTGTTGTGTGTGTGTGAATGATCTCTTAGTTTAAATTTGAAAGCTGGCTAATTATATTAAAAATTGAAGAAAATCAATTGTATGCTGAAATACCAATTTAGCATGTCTTTATTTCTACATGGTGCATGGACTACTTTACCGAATACGCTGACGTGTTATAACAATAAGAATAGAATCGTAAAGAATCATAGGTATTGCAGTGTTGATATTTAAATCAGGACTTTTACCCCGGTCTTCAATTTTTTTTTTATGGAGCTTCCGGTATTAAAAATTGTAAAATAGTTCAAATACCTGTATCCAGTAACCATTTTTTGTGTAGTGGCAACTAGTTTCACCTCGCCACTATGGAAATAAGGAGAGTAAGCTGGGGTAGTGGTTAGAGCGCGGGACTTCAGTCCCTGAGGTCCCGGGTTCAAATACCGCCAAGTGACCAATAGATTTTTTCTAAGTGATATTTGCCGCAACTCATAGGTCTAGTCTGAAGTAATGTGAAAAACAATCCCACACCCGTGCATTGGTTCCTAGGACAAAAAAAAACTACAAAAAAACTATGCAAATAAAGGACAACGGAATTTGTTCTAGTCTAAAACACTTTTTTCAGAATAAATTACCTAAATATTGTTTTGTCTACATGGAAACAAAATTAAAAGATTAAGTATGCACATAATTTTGCTACATTTCTCAATGAATATTATAAAAAACTTTAAAAGACACATTATGCATACCTATGCAAAGCTATTGAAAGAGCCTTAACTGCGGAACTATATTGGAATTATATTGATTAAATGCTTAACATAGGAGCTAAAACCAAACTAAATGTACGTTCTTGGTAATGTTTTTAGAGTAAATTGGATTAGAGACGAGATTTTACATGCATGTATTTTAAAAGAAGAGCTTTAGAAGCCTGTCACTTCCAGGGCAGGTTAGCTGGGCACAGCAGCAGTGGCTTGTTGATCCCCTGTTAACATTGAGTGACACCTCAAGCCTCTTAGTCTGATTAATTTTGGAAAATTTCCTGGAAACATGAACGAGCTCTCATTTTATCTTGGAAACAGACCGTTATTTACACTGCAATATTATCATAACAGTGTCTGCTTGAGTTATTTGGCAATGAAATGTGTATCTTATTTACTTTGGCATTTAATCTTCTAAGAATATTAAGGAAAAAATTGCTAAGAAAACTGGAGTTGTTTTATACTAATGGTAATTCATAACAATTAATGTAAACGTCACAACGGACATTCGTGTAACGTATTATGACATAAGAGTACTACAAGTTTATTAATAATATAGTCATTCATAATTAAACGTGTAGGTATAAGTAATTTAGTAAGACTCATTTAAATTATGTTCAACTACAATGAACTGCATTGCAGAAATTAATCACAAAATAGATTAAGAAAAATATACATTGACTTAAGAATTAAATATCCATTATTTTAATTTAATTATAAAAGTTTTAGAAAAAAACTTGCACGAATTTGTAAGGTTATTAATTTTTTTTTACCGAAGAAGCTAAAACCACATCTGAAAATGGTAATTTTAAGGATATATGTAGTAAAAACTTAATTCCTGGATCAAGGAGTTATAGTAAACCTTTTTGTTTGTACCACATAAAAAAAGGTTGTAAACACCTGCTACTCTCTGAGAATAGGTTTCTAAGTAGAAAGATATTAAAGGATTTAATTATAAGAACATGATAAAGCTATATTAATAGGCAAGCATGTTTCTTTCAAACCTTCAGCTCGTGTGCATCGCAGGGAAAATTTACGCATACTGGTAGTAAGATATTTTCCTTTAGATGTGCAAAATCCCTTTATAAATTGAAATAGGTAAAAAAATATAGCACTAAAAATGCGTTTAATAAAAAAAATAACGTGGGCCTTATGCGTTGCCAAGCTGGTGACGAAATAACAACGATAAATGAACAGAAAATCTAAACAAATGGAAGACTGCTACACAATCATCACATGTTTCATTTTTACAGCGTGGGGTGAAAATAGAAAAGTCTGTGCATTAGGTATTTATGGTCGAGACTTCGACCACTGGACGACCTCTAGTTTATATTTTTGAACTTTAAAAGTAAAATAAATCAAAATGAAGTAAAGATTAATCAAATAAAGATGTAATTTGTCTATAGAATTTTTAGAGAGAATAAATATTTTCATTGCGTCATTTGGATTTTTAACCGACTTCCCCACTACCAACCAAAGGAGGAGGTTCTCAATTTGTTTGTGGCGATGTTTTTTTTTTTTCTATGTATGTTCACCAATTTCTCTGTGATTCTTTTACCGATCAGTGTGGTTCTACCACCAAAATAACCAGGAGAGTTTCTATTTGGTACCTTATATATTATGTTTAAGTATAATATTTGTTTCGGTGAAAAATTCTGAAAACCTTAAATATTCAACTTTTATTTTGTTTACATTTGTGCAGATTGTTTACATTTGTGCAGAGAAGGCAATAAATAATAACATTCCTACAGCTGTTAGTTGAAACCATTTAAATGAAGCTACAGACAATTCTTCGTGAAACAGTTGCTTCATATTGATCAATACACTATTTATTGCCATGGAGCCTAAATGAATTACATTGAGAAAAATGCATTTTGTTTTGGTTACTATAAAAAATGTATTTTAACGTTTGACCTGATTTGTGTATACAGTAATTCTGATTTTAGTATTGAATATTCTGACTTACAAAAACATATGTTTCAGTGAATAGCTGTATGATATTGACAAATAAAGGTGTATTGTGAAAACCAAAGCATTCGTAAAACAGGTCTAAATATAAATCAAATGCAATTATTCCTTACACGACCTAAGAAGTGTGACAGTGCATAGTCGTCAATTGTCTTAAAAGTGTTAAATATTTTAGTTACTAAACATGCATTTGCAGATGTGGAATGTTTATTGATATTCTCTACCCAGTTACTATATCATATCAATACTATTATGCCTGCTTCGGAAAGTCCTAGAGGAAGATGATTTGCAATTTCGATTAGGCTATATCTTGATCTAACAAAACCACCTACATGGCTTGCACCACTTTTAGCTGAACCAATCTTTCATATACATATTTAATTTGCAGATGTGGAATGTTTATTAATATTCTCTACCCAGTTACTATAAAATATCAATACTATTATGCCTGCTTCGGAAAGTCATAGAGGAAGATGATTTGCAATCTCGACTAGGCTATATCTTGAGCAAACAAAACCCCCTACATGATTTACACCACTTTTAGCTGAACCAATCTTTCATATAATATTTTCCAAAGATACTATACGTGTTAACAAGCAATTTTCCACTTTTGAGAGATTTTTTAGTGCTGGTAGCTGAGGAATAACTTTCATATTGTTCCAAAAGGCTTGAGACGTTACTGTATTTCTTTTTATAATGTAGAAGTACACCGATTGCAGGAAACGATGATGTCTGACATTTCAATGTATCTAGACAAGACAATTAGTTTTTCATTAGGCCTAATGTAATGAACAACTCTTTCTTTCTTAAGGAATATCTAAAAATGTTTATTTTCATACCCATTGATTAAGTAACCTGAACAGGTGACTCAAGCAGTTTTAAAATAATGATTGTTCTGTGGAACTTTTGATCGTTTCAATCAGTTTTGCTTATCAAAAAACCTCAAGTAATTAATACAAAAAAAATTATACCGTCACTAAAAATCATGAAATAA